GCACCGGGCAGCGTGTCCCCCGGCTTCCCGCCTGGATTCCGCTCATCTCAGAGAGGAGAGAGCTGCGCTGTCCGGTCGTAGGCATGACTCTCAGGCTCGTGGGAACCTTAAATCCCTAAAAGTCTGAGTCCCGGGGCCAGAGGAGTGGGACAGAGGCCCAGACTCTGCAGGAATTGGCACCTGTGTGGCTGGCAGCCCTGGTTACCCCTGGTCACTGTGGCCCTTGGTGCCTTCCCTGATTGACGGACGGGGACACTGCTCAGGCTGCTCACTGCAGTGACCCGCCCGGCCCCACACCTCCAGGGGAGAGCCCAGCCCCTCCTCTGTGAGCACCCCCCCACCTCCCCGAGCCTGCTCACAGCCCTGTGTGTTGGCGGTGGGGAGTCCTGAGGACGAGGATGGGGGCAGGGGGCTTCTCTTTCTGAGAACCGGCGGTGCGCCCCAGGAGGGCTCGGCTGGGCGCTACCCCTGCTCCCCCAGCCTCTCCCTAGCCCTGTGTGGCCTGGGGAACAGAGTGCTAGGAGTCACCCCAAATGAATCCTTGAAATTCAAACTCATGAGCCCTTCCAGAACTTAGAGGCCCATACCCCCGGGGAGGCCGCCCTCCAGGGCACCCCCATGCACCCTCCTCCTCACCCTCGACAGGATGCCTCACAGAGCACCCTCAGGCTGGCAAGGGGAGGCATGGGCACCAGGTGGTGTTTTGGGGGGAATCAGGGAGGGTCTGGGGTACGACGGGGGCAGAGCATCTGAGCCCGTGAGCAGCCCCGGAGGTGCAGGGAGATGCCTGTGGGCGTGACCAGGGGAGCCAGTGCTCAGACAAGCGGACAGCGGTGAGGAGGAGGCAGGCCCGGCCAGAGACCCGTCCAGGAGAGAGGCCTGGTCCAGCCCATCGGCTGTGGCCCTGGGTGAGTGTCCCCCATCCTAGGGACCTGAATTCACCACCACCATGAGCACCGTATGGGCAGACCTTTTGGGGTGAGGGGGTGAAGAGCCAGGCCCCCGTCTCTCAGAAGGAGTCTGGAACCCCAGGGACCCCAAGCTTGAAGACCCCCCCAAAGGCGATGCTGTTCACCTCCAGGCCTTTACCATGTAGCCTCCAGCTTAGAGGAGAGTGGCCAGAGACGGCTGGCGTGGGCACCCAAGAGACTGGGCCGTGGAGGTTTCTCTGTGGGGCCGGCAAACAGCCACTGAATTAGGAAAATGTCTCTCTTCACTTGTTGGTAAATCCAGGCAAGCTGGTAGTGCTGCTGCCCGGCCGGGGCACAGGCCGCGGCAGCCCGGGGTGGGGGTGGGGGCCTGGACACAGTCTGGCCACACCTCCACTTCACAGGCAGACGGGGGCTCCGGAGTGGCCGAGATGCCAGCCGGCATCCTCTGGATGTCACCTTATGAACGAAACAGCACCCCAGGGACCCCCAGGTGGGAAACGACAGAGCCCCCGTGAGGCCTTGAGAGGCACCGGGCAGGCCCCTCGGGAGTCCCAGGCCGCATGGTCACTGCTCGTGGGGCTGCTCAGTCTCGGAGCACAGGTGCATCGTGGCTGACTGGCCCTTCGTCACATAGCGTGGCCCGGGGCCAGCCTCCTGCCGTCTGCTCGGTGCCTGGCGGACAGAGCTGCCCAGGAGAGGAGCGGCCGCGGGTCTCCCAGCCTCCCCGGGCGCAGGCCTGGGGCCCCGAACCGTCCCGGTGACGGCTGCCCTGCTCAGCGCTGCCCCCGGGACTGGGCTCCCGGCCCGCGCTGCAGGTGCGCGTACTTCACACTCAGGCCCTCGTGCCCCGCCCCCCGGGGAGCCCTGCGCCCCAGGGAGGCAGCTCAGCCGGGCGGCCCGGCCGCTCTCAGCAGAACGCTGACGGTCAAGAGCGCTGGCCCATAGCGCCTCTCGCCACATGACTAAGCAACTGCCCACGGACACAGTGTCTTCTCAGGGTCCCCTCCTTGGGGCGGGCTCTGCATGACATTCACTGGGCAGAGACCCGCTCCTGCCCCTCCGTCATGGCCTGGACCCCCGGGGCCGGGCGCCGCTCAGCTGACAGCTGCGTGTGGCCCCCCCGGCAGCCGCTGCTGGGGAGGGTCCCGCCACTCAGGCTGACAGAGGGGTTTCAGGCCCACCCTTCCGTGGGACCTGGCGGGCTGTCCGTGGGAAGCGAGCCCCCGGGCCTCTAGTGGCCTTCCCCAGACTGGGGTGTCCCGGCAGGCTGGCGCTAGCTGTCGATTTGAAGAGCGTCCTGGAGAAGCCGGCAGGGGCGAGGCGGCCTGTGACCCGCTGTCGGGTCTCTGTCGGCCCCGAGAGCCGGGGGACAGATGGCCCACGCCCTGCCTTGCTCACACGGCTCGGGGGCCCGGCAGGCGGCAGGCCCGAGGCAAAGGCAGTCACCAACTGTGGAAAACCAGAAGTTAAATCTAAAAAACAGACTCTTATCACAGCATGGCGGACGGCAGAGGGGCCCCCGGCTGAATGCGGAGGCGAGGCCCCCGGGCCCCCCGGGAGCTGGCCGGGAGGCCCACCCAGGAGCGAGGGGAGGACTCACGCCCCGCCCGAGCCCTGGCTGACGGGCACAGGGCGCGGGACACCTTCCGGGCAGGTGCTGAGCGTGGTCTTGCGTCAAGGCCGAGGTCGAGGCGCGCCTGGCCAGGTGGCCGTGATCTCCGGGGCTCCAGGCACAGAGGTCGGGTGCCCAGCCGGCTGCTGGCTGTCGTCACGGCCTCCGCGGCTCCCAATCGGCTCGTGGCCTGAGGGAACGCCTCTCTGGATTGCGACAGCTCCCCTCCCCGTTAGGCTAACACAGGATTCCTTTCTGTTTGGGAACAACGCACGCCCCTCCGGGGTCTCCGGGCGTGCCCCTCCCACCCCCCACCTGCCGGCTGCTGGGCCAGTCCCGGGCCCAGGCCTCCCCCACCCTCCCACGTGCGGCACGGAGCACGCAGCGGGGTCCTTCCCCGGCATGGGGCCGGCCGCAGACAGACAGCGTGACCCGGGCAGCGTGTGGCACGTGGCACGATGGAAGGGCGTCCGAGGGACCCACACAGCCGAGACGACTCCCTGGACGGATGGGAGGGTGCCCAGAGGAAGGGGTGTAGTCACCGAGGGAAGGAGCCAGGGCAGCTGCCGAGATCCAAGGGTGCCTGGCCTGGGGAGGGAAGGTGCACGGTGGGGTGTGTCGTGTCCGACCAGCTCAGGGCAGAGGAAGGGTTCCCCGGGGCTGGGCCGGGCTGACACCGTGACTGCCGAGGCCCAGAGCTACACAGACGCCACCAGGCTGTGGGGGGCAGATGCCGTGGCGGGGCGGGGCCTGAGAATGGCAGCTCCATTAGGGGGTCTGCACACACCCTCCTGACACAGGCCTCCAGCTGTGTGGAACCCCCACCTTTGTTGCTCGGTCCCTGCAGGTCCCCCTGGGTCCTCACTGGCCCCCCGGCCCTGGGACGGACACACTTCCCGTTCTCGAGGCCTCCAATGCCCCCCACCCTGACCTTCTCCTGGCAGCCCCCTGGGGTGCTCCCCCTCTTCTAGGCTCTCGGCTCCCAGCACCCAGGACCCCCCTGGTCCAGCCTCCTCCCCCACCTGTTAGGGCTTCTACTTCTCTCCTCTTGCTGATGCCGCATCAGCTGGAGCAGCCAGACCGGTCCTGGTCCAGAGTGCGTGCTCTGGAAGAAGGGAAGGAGGGGAGGGAGGGAGGGAGGGGAAGAGGAGAGGGAGAGGAGGCGAGAGGAAGAGAGGGGAGGGGAGGGGGGGAGGGGGAGTGCCCACTGAGCTGAAGAAGTCGAGGCTAACAGCAGCCCAGGGCCGGCTGGGACCCCGCCTTCCCTGGGGCTGGGACTGGGCTACGTGGGCTGCCCTGGGCTGCTCTCTGCTCGGCATGGGGAGCCCGCTTGTGCGTGTTTCCTCACCCATCGGACGAAGCCCGTCGGACAGACAGACCACCACCACTTCCGCAACGCTGTGGAGGTTCCCAGGGGCCCGGGCCGGGACTGTCCAGCCTGGCTAAGGCTCTCTGGGTCCCCCAGACCCAGCAACAAGAGCTGAACGAAAGGACTTCGCCGAGCCGGGGATGGAGCCGTCACGGGGGAGGCCACATGCCAGGCCCCAGGGGCGGGGCCGCCTCCGAGGTCACTGTGAAGGCTCCTGCGGAAGGCCTGACGCTTCCCTGGTGACTGAGGCCCGCAGTGTCAGAGCCTAAACACAGCAGAATCCCACAGGCTCCGACCAGGCCCCTCGAGAACCACGCGAGCCCTGGTGCAGCACAGGGAACACCAGGGAGGGGCCGCCCTTCCTGACCCCCACCCCGGCCCCGGGCGGCTCCTGCTCGGCTGGGTCTGGCTCCCTTTCCTGCAAGTAGTCGTGAGCTGCGTTTATTGTAACCACCTGTCGACCTGGCAAGCGGAGGAGGCCTCCAGACAGATGTGCCCTCGGGTACGTGAGTGAACAGCACTCCTCAGGGCCCACGGGGATGGAGACGCGGAGGAAGTTCTTATTTCTCAAAGGATCAGGAATGACTACGTCCTCAGTGTGTGTGTGTGTGTGTGTGTGTGTGAGTGTGTGTGTGTGTGTGTAAGAGAGAGAGAGAGACAGACAGAGACAGAGACAGAGAGTGTTGATACACACAGGACATACATATTTGCTAAATTAAACCTTTCCCTTAGCTCAACAAACTATGGCCTCTGGGCCAAATCTGGCCCACGATTTGCTTTTATAAATAAAGTTTTATTGGCACACAGCAACACCGGTGTAGCCACTTTTTCACTACCACAGCAGGACTGAGTAGCTGCAACACAGCCTGTAAGGCCTGCCACATCTGAAGTATTTGCTCTCTGGTCCTTTAAGGAAACCTGGGGAGGCCCTGCGAGTCCAGCAGGATGCACTTGGCTGGGGCCGAGGAGCTGGGAGGGGCCGAGGGCAGAGCACAGCTTGCCAAGCTCTGTTTGTCATTGACTGGACTCTGAAGGATCCTCCCCCGACCAAGGGTTCAACACCCTGGCTGTCAGGTCCTGACATGCAGGAGAAGTGTCAATAAGGGGTCAGGTAACACCGACAAGCACCGAAAGGCAGAGAGGGTGCAGCGGGGAGCCCATCGACCGGCCTTGCCTCTGGACACCAGCGCGAGGCCAGCTGGGAAATGTTCCGAGCACTGGCCAGCGCCAGTGCGGCCCTGGGGCCCCCGGTGGCAGGTTGGGCGCGGACCATGACCTCCCAGCAGCTGCTGGTGGCCCCTCCAGGGGCCCTGCTCAAGCCCCTGTCCATCCCTAACCGGCTCCTGCTGGGGCCCGGCCCTTCCAACCTGGCTCCGCGTGTCCTGGTGGCCGGGGGGCTGCAGATGATCGGGCACATGCACAAGGAGATGTTCCAGGTAGGCTGTGTGGGAGGTGGCAGAGGGTCCCCGGGGGGCGGGCAGGGAGCAGGGTCTGACCTGCACCCCACTGCCCCCAGATAATGGATGAGATCAAGCAAGGCATCCAGTACGTGTTCCAGACCAAGAACCCCCTCACCCTGGCCATCAGCGGCTCGGGGCACTGCGCCCTGGAGGCCGCCCTGTTCAACGTCTTGGAGCCGGGGGACTCCTTCCTGGTCGGGGTCAATGGCATCTGGGGGCAGCGGGCTGCGGACATCGGGGAACGCATCGGTAAGCGACGGCGCGGAGGGCGGGGGGTGGGCCCTCGCGTCTTCCTTCCCCAAGGCCTCCTGCGGGAGCCCGGCACACCCACCCCACGTGACCCCCGGCACCAACCGGGGCCCCTCCGCGGGCAAGTCTCGTCCCCTTCGTGCACGCGGCCCCTGCCCGGCCAGCCGCTGCCTTCTCCAAGTGGGGACTGGGGTGCTCGACTGATCCCCGGCTCCCCGTCCCCCAGAGCGTGAGGACAGCCGTTTCCCCAGCGTGTGGGGCACCTCAGGTTTCTGCACGGACCCGGGAGCGCCCCCGCAGCTCGCCGGGGCCCCAGGCTTCACCTCTGCCCTGTGACAGAACAGGGTTCTGGAGGCTGAAAGCCCCTCCCGGAATCCCTCAGGAGCTGCAAAGGACAGAGGCCCAGACGAGGTTTTCACTTCCGGAGTACAATTTTCTGGAGACAAAAATCCGAAGCAGGAGTGTGCAGAGGGTTTAATGATTGACCGCGGCGTGCGGAAACGCCCCCTGCCCCTGCACGGTCAGCTCCACACATGGCCGCACTCAGGCCTGGTTAACGGACACCCCCCGGGGGCCCAAGGGGGCCCCCCACGTACCTGGTCCCCTCCAGTTCACACGCTGGTTTTCAAGGGGAGGCAGCATCGGGCAGAGGCCCGCAGTGGACCTCAGAGGCCCCCTCGCTCCAGAGGCGCCGACTGACCCTTCTCTGCCCCCCCGCACCCCCGGCTTGGCGCCTCCGTCCTTCTACACTGGGCCCTGGAGCCGCTGCGCGGCTGGGGGGCGGGGTGAGCGGGACAAGGGCCTGTCCGTCCTCACGCGCCGCGGCTCCACCGGGCCTCCTACAAACGCTCTGTCCTGGCCGGGGCCGAGCCTGGCCGCTCTCATGCCGCGCACCCCAGGAGCCTCAGCTCCCTGAACACACCCCAGCTTCCTCTTCCCTGCGGCCACGGGCTGGGGCGGGCGGGCACCCCCTCACAGGGCCTGGCTGCTCGGCACAGACCCCGTCTCCACCCCGCGGCGGAGGGTGCTAACCACTCACGCTGCCCCCCCCCAGGGGCCCGAGTGCACACAATGATCAAGGACCCTGGGAAACACTACACTCTGAAGGACGTGGAAGAGGTAGGGAGGGCGCACGGGCCCCGGGGGGGGGGGGGGCAGCTGGCCGAGGGGCCTGGGGGCTGGGAGACCCAGGCTGAGCCTCTGCTCTTCCCAGGACCAGGTGACCAGGCACAGGAGGAGCATCCCAGTGCCTGGGGGGCCGGTGGGAAGATGAATAGGGAGGGCTCTGCCTGGCAGGGAAACCGAGTCAGGAGCCCAGTCCTACGGGCTGGGTGAGAGGGGCCGAAGGGGGAGGTGGGGAGCGGGGCCTGACACTCAGGATGCCAGCCGCTCCCCGTCGGGAAAGGCCCATCCCAACCAGCTGAGACCCTGGGGACTCAGCTGACCCCACTGGGCCCTGACGGGCGGAGGTGGGAGGCCGGGGAACCTTTGCTCTGACTCTGGGAGAAAGTCCTCCTCTTCCGGGACCAGCCGGCCTCCCAGAGCCCAGATGCTGGCTCAGCACACGCACAGAGGCTTGAGGCCCGTCCGGCTTCCGCCGCCCACATCTGCACCCTCCACGTCGGGGAAAGGAGGGTTTGGGGGGCAGATCCTGCTCTGCCCTCGCCAGGAAGTCTTCCTGGGAGGGGCTGGTGGGCCCAGGCGAGGCCCCCCCCCCCGGCTGTGCCCACGCTGTCACTTCCGTCCCTCCCAGGGTCTGTCCCAGCACAAGCCAGCGCTGCTGTTCCTGACCCAGGGGGAGTCGTCCAGCGGCGTGCTGCAGCCCCTCGACGGCTACGGGGATCTCTGCCACAGGTGAGCCTGGCCAGGGGGGCGGGGCGGGGGGCGGGGCCAAGCACGGCCCAGAGCCCGGCTGGGGCTCGGGGTGCTGGCGGGTCCCTCTGGTCAGGGGACAGCAGGTGAGACCCGGCTCCCATCCTGCCCCTCTGCCCTCCCCCGTCTGTCACACAGAGCGAGATGCAGGCACCCCCGGGTCCTCCTCGCTCTGCACTGAGTCTGGGTGGGCCCAACGCATCTGAGGCAGGACCAGGTGCTCCGTGGCCGGGAGTGCCCACTACCCTCCAGTCCCCATGGCCGGGAAGGTGCGGATCCCGCTCTCCGGGGCCCGGGAACTGCCCGGCCCAACCTTGTCCTAAGATCCAAGAGCCCCAAGCAGCCTCTGGCCTTCACTGGCCTCCTCCAGCCTCCCTACCGCTGCTTGGGGCTGGCAAGGCCTCAGGTACAGTCGGGTGGGACTCCCCGCTGTGACCGGCAGTCCTGCCCCGGAGAGCTGACCGCAGGATGGAGGGAGGGGAGCCCTCTCCACTGGGCAGGCTCACCCCAGCACGGCTGCTGTCCACCGTGGGGGACCTGGGGGCTGCTTGGCACTGCCCCCCAGGACAGCCCGTGCCCTGGGGTCTTGTCTAGTAAACCCAGCCTGGGCTATGACCCTCGGAGCACCCACCTGTCCCCTCTGTGCCCAGTGTGGGATACTCTTTATGCTTCAAAAAAATATTTTTAAGTAATCTCTCTGCCCGACGTGGGACTCAAACTCATGGCCCGGAGATTAAGAGCCATACATTCTACTGTTTGGCTTTCCTGTTGCCTAAGAAAGTGTGGAGGTGGAGGGGAGCCGAAGTCTCCAGCTCAGGCTGTTTCTGGACTCGCTGGGCTCTGGACATACGGCCAGCATGCTGCTGCCTGAGCCCTGGGCCCCCCCAGGGCCACACGCTGCCGGGGGGGCCCTCGCGCACACCTGCGGTCCCTGCCCCTCGGCTCGCCCCGGTTCCCTCGCAGAGCTGGTACTGGGGGTCCGAGAACCCAGGAGGATGCACCCTGGGTGGGGGGGAAGGCTCCCAAGCTTCCACACTGGCCCTCAGGGCCCCTCCAGGAACCCCACCAGGCAGTCGCAGCCTCTCCTGCTTTACTCTCTTGCCCTGCACCCCCAGGTACAAGTGCCTACTCCTCGTGGACTCGGTGGCGTCCCTGTGCGGGGCCCCCATCTACATGGACCAGCAAGGTAAGGCATGGCCCCTGCACCCCCCGGGGGCCCAGAGGGGACGGTTTCTGAGGCAGTGCCTGCAAGGCCGCCAGCAGCCCACACGTCGGACTAGGACCCCAGGGGAAGCGCTGGTCACCTGGCCGAGGCGGGACCTGCCCACGGACTAATCAATACCCCAGTGTTTCTGTGGCCCCGTCGTGGAGAGCGGGCAGAGGGGCTCCCTCAGCTTCTGGAGACTCACTCAGAGCCTCTCGGTGGGGGGAGGGGGGTAGTGCCAGGGCCCCTGTCAGTCAGGCCGGGCCTCGGGGTCCCCACCAGCTTGTCATGTGCAGTGAGCACTGTTTCCAGGGCCACCTTGCAGGCCAACCCGGAGAAGCCGTTCGGGCTCAGCATTTCCTCCCAGAAGAAAGTCCCAGTCCACACGGCGTGGTGCCTGGCCACAGCCACCCTTCTCCCGCTCGGCGGGGCAAACTGCTTCCGGAATCCTCTCTCATCAGGGAGCTCTGGGCCATCGAGGGGGAGATTCCAGCTGCTCTGAAAGAAAGGGCTCAGGGAGGGGGCCCTGGGGACGCAGTGCGGGGGACAGGGCTGCCCCCAGGGTGCCCACCCCAGCGCCTCCCGGGCTGGCCGACCCCGTGGTGCGAGGGAAGAGGCTGCAGCCCAGACCCCAGGGGACAGTGTGGCCCCGAGAAGCCAGGGCTGGAGCCCAAGACACCGCACCACCCGTCCCCGCCTCCCCGTCCCCAGTGAGGGCACGGGCGCTGCGAGCACCGCTCAGGGTGTTCGAGGCCTTTGCCCTTCAGTGCGCAGGATCACGGGGACACGGCACGGTCCCCTTTCCCCATCGGCAGGCCTCTGGGCTCCCTCTGGGCTTATGGTTTCAGGAGCAAACTGCAGCGAGTGATCCCACAGGGTCAGGGCTGCTGGGAGTGTGTACAGCCCCCTCGGGCCCCGGCTGTGAGGGGGGGGACGTGACCGAGGTGCTTTGTCACGACCCTTCGCTGCTGCCTGGAGTGTAAAATCTCAGGTGGTGATGGTGTCGGTTTTCGTGAAAGTTCCGTGGCCTCCTGACGTGGCAAGAAAACCCGTTTTGGCCTGTGTTCCGCCCCACGTGCGCTCACCACACTGACGCCGCCTGTGGGGGTTCTCGGCTGAGCAGACCGCACGGGGGTGGCCTGCAATTCAGTTCCACCTACCTGGAGCCCGCGTCCCCCCGCGTAGGTCAGGGACTTACTCCTACAAGACTGTCCACCCTGCTTCACATGGCCCTGGCGCTGCGGGCCCCCAGGTCACCCAAAACTTGTCTGACTTGCTGGGGCCGGTCTGGGCCCCCCACCGCGCCCCCTGCGGCGATCCCTCCCCAGGGAGAGCTTGGCCCCCAGGAGCACACGCCCCCCCCTCTCCACAGGCATTGACATCCTGTACTCTGGCTCCCAGAAGGTCCTGAACTCACCTCCGGGGACCTCGCTCATCTCCTTCAGTGACACGGCCAAGTGAGTGACTCCTGGGCCCCTGACCACAGGCTGGATGTGCAGCGAGGCCGGGGGGCCCCTGAAGTAGGAGGGTCGGAGCAGGAGGGAAGGGCTCTTGGGGCTGTGCTCAGAGACACCCTGGACTACTCAGCACCCACCCTGGATAGGGGCCCACCCTGGACGGGTGTGCTGGAGCTCTGAGTTCATAGGGTGGGCGGTGGCCAGGGCGCAGTGAGGTCACCTGTGTGAGGATGCAGAGCCCAGCATTCTGGAAGCGCCCCAGCCTCGACTCAAGGACCGGGGGCCCAGCGCCTCACCCCCACGCCTCCACCCTTGGCTCGGTGTCCAGGGGCTGATGCACGAGCCGCTTGATGGGGTGGGTGTGGACCACTTTCGTCCAGCAGCCCCAGTGTCCCCCAGTCCTGGGTGTCCAGCCCCTGAGCCAGGCCAGGCCGGGGTGGGGGAGGGGCCCAGGGGATGCAGCACTGACACGGTCTCGGGTGGGGTCAGGGGTTGCATGGGGTCGTGGGAAGTGTGAGCTGCCTGCGGGAAGGGCAGGGAAATGGCTGAGGCAGAGCCCCTATCCGGTCACACCCATGCAGAGAATAGATGTATTAAAGCCTCAAGATCGGCTGCATTACTAGGGCCTGAGAGGAGAGGAGCGGGGGCCCCAGCTGAGCCTGGCCCCCGGGGTGCAGGGCCTGGGCACCAACACGGGGGCCCGGGGTGCCTGCCGCTCTGGCTCCCTGCTGTGGAGCAGCGTAGCCTGACAGCCCCCGGGCGCTCCAGCCGGACAGGCGGCACTCAGGCTGCTCCTTCCTTGCCTTCCCAGAAACAAGATTTACACTCGGAAGACGAAGCCCGTCTCCTTCTACCTGGACATGAAGTGGCTGGCCAACATCTGGGGCTGTGACGGCAAGCCCAGGATGTGAGGGCCGCGGGCCCGGGCCGGGGCCACGCCTGGTGGCGGGGCGTGGGGGTGGCCTCTCTCTCACGCAGCCTCTCAGCAGCTTTACACCCTGGGTTCTGAGCCTGCTCCCCAGCTGGGGCCCCAGGTCTCACCAGAGTCAGGCCATCCATGCCCCTTCTCGGCTCCCCACGCCTCCCTGACCTGGGGGCTCAGGCCCAGAAGCATGGCCCCCACCGCCCTGCACCAGGCCCTCTCCTCCCGGACCCAGTGCACCTCTGGACACTCTGGGCCTGGCCGTTGTCATGCCTTCCCATTCCTGGGTCTCGGTTTACCCACCTCTCAAAAAGGGGGCTCAGCCAGGGGCTCCTTGTTAAGTGGCTTTCACCGTAACCCACACGGGGATTAGGAGACCAGGAATTGGGCCCTACTCAGCGGGCACAGCGGCTCTCAGAAAGGACAGGCTGGGGTGGGGCCCCAGCCCTAGGCGACGGGGCCTGAGCCTCGCCCTCCCCAGACCTAGCTGCTTCTCCAGCTCTGAGTCCGTAACCCCCCAAACCGGACGGCAGCCCTCTGGGAAGTGGCCCGGCCCGCCCCCCACCCAGTGACACTGGACCAGGCCCACTCTTGTCTTCCAGATACCATCACACCACCCCCATCATCGGCCTGTACAGCCTGAGAGAGAGCCTGGCCCTCATGGCGGAGCAGGTGAGGGGAGAGGGGTGGAGAGCGGGGGCCGGGCGTGTGCAGGGGTGCGGGGTGGGCTCCAAGCAGGGGCGTGGGGAGGGGGTGGGCTCCTTGCAGGGGTGTGGGAGGGGGTGGGAGGGCTGGCTGCAGACAGAGGGGTTCCGGGGAGGACAGAGCCCTGGGGACAGAGCACTTTCCCACAGCCCGTCTCCAGCTCCCAGGGTGGGGCAGGGGCCAAGTGGGGACCCGTGGGTGTGACCAGAGGGTGTCTTTGTCCAGTGCAGTAACCAGGCTCTCGGGGCACAGAGAGTGGGCTCTGCAGGACACAGGACAGGAGACATTGCTGGGGGTCACCCCGGGGTCGCCCAGGAAGCCTGCCAGCCTGCAGCCCAGAGGCAGGGAGAGCGCCTGCGCGTGGCCGGCCCCCCCGTGTGGGCTGCGTGTGCCCTTCCGTGTCTGCTCGTGGAGCCGGCGCCCCAGGGCTGGGCCAGTAGGGGCTGAGGTGTCCCGTGAGCTGAGGGGGTCACCGGCCTCAGGCTGGCCGTGTGCCAAGGGGGTGCGTAGCTGCGAGGGGGTGAGGACAGCGGATCGTGGGGGTCCCTGCGCTGGGAAGACAGGAGACAGGACTGTGGGTAGCTCAGAAGCCCCTTCCTGTCCCCTGGCCCGCAAGGCGCTCCCACCTCACATCCTCCAGGGACCACAAGGCGCCAGCCACTGGCTGGGCCCCCCACTTCCTGTCCCAGGCCCAGACTGTTGCCACGGCGCCAAGGTGGCTCTGGGTCTGGCCCTGGGGCAGGGGGCTCAGGGCGTCTCTACGGAGACCCGAGTCCAGGCGAGGCGAGGAGCCCTTCCAGCCTGAAGCTGCCCCCACCATGGATGAGATACAGGGTCCCTCCCTGTCACCGCAGAGGGAGGGGCCCCGCCCCGCCCTCCCCCACCTTGCCCACTGGGTGCCCTCTCCCCTCCCAGGGCCTGGAGAATAGCTGGCGGCAGCACCAGGAGGTCACCGCTTACCTGCACGGGCGCCTACAGGGGCTGGGCCTGAAGCTCTTTGTGAAGGATCCAGTAAGGAGCGCGGGGCAGGGGCGGGGCGGGGGCGGGGCGGGGGGCAGAGGGCAGGGGGCAAGGCAGAAAGGGGAGAGACAGAGGGTGTGGGGGAGGGGAGGACTCCTGTCCTCTGAATGGATACAGGGTCCTGCGGTCACCTGGGTGGTCATTGTCACCGTCACAGCGGCCTGGCCTCTGTGGGTGCTTAGCTCAATGCCCCCATGTGCCCCACAGCCTCCCGCCTAAAGTAGTAATGGGCGAGCTCCGAGCCAGAAGGTGCCCGTGGCCTCCGGAGCCCCGGCACTCCGGCCAGGCAGGGGTGGAGGGTGGGGGTGTCCGCTCGAGGCGCCCAGTCAGCCCAGGTCTCAGCAGGAAACAGAAGCTCCTTCTCCCCAGTAAGGTGTCACCTGCCCAGGGGGGCAGACATCATACACACGAGAAGGGTGTCCACAGACTCGGATGCCCAGCCCTGAGCACCCGCCAGTGGGCAGGGGCCCCTGGGAGGTGGTGACCTCCCTGTCCCTGGGCTCCGTCTCCCTCCCTCCATGCCCTCCCCCGCCTCTGCCCACCCCTTTGGGGCCTGAGACCAGGGCTGGAGTCTGTCAAGGGGGCGGGGGCGGCTGAGCCGGGCCTGTCTGGCAGGCGCTCCGGCTCCCCACTGTCACCACCGTGGCCGCGCCCGCTGGCTACGACTGGAGGGACATTGTCAACTACGTCATGGACCATTTTGACATCGAGATCACAGGCGGCCTGGGGCCCTCGACGGGGAAGGTAAGGCGCAGGGCCGCTGCTCTGAGCAGCCAGGGATGAGGTCAGGCCACACGTGCCACGTTCCCACCCCAACACGGAGCGCCATGCGCCAGGCCCAGGCTGAGGCCGGCGGCCGGCGGTTCCCCGGGGCAGCAGGGGCACCCACACAGGAGCACCCTTCTCTGAACCAGGGGCCCGTGCAGGGGGAGCTGGGCGAGGTGCACTCTCCCGCCCCCGTCACCTCAGCCTGGTGAGCTCGTGGGCTGCGGCCTCTCCAAGTCCACCCCGAATGTCCTTCCTCATCTCCCTCCGAGCGGGCAGACCAGGCTGAAGGTGCCATGCCTGGGTCTGGCTGTGCCCACTGAGCGGGCGACTCAGGGTGAAGCTCTCAGTGTGGGGGGTCCCACCTGGCTCTGCCTGGCCCTCATTCCGGCCCCCTGCGCCCTGCAGGTGCTTCGGATCGGCCTGCTGGGCTGCAACGCCACCCGGGAGAACGTGGACCGAGTGATCCAGGCGCTAGAGGAAGCGCTGCAGCGCTGCCCCCGAAACAAGCTGTGACCTGGCTGCCCCCCCGAGCCCCGCCCTCCCGGAGGGGCTGGCTGGGGGCACCGGGAGCAAACAGACTCTGCCAGACGGTCGGGCCCCAGGGGGACAGGGCAGCTGCCACCCCAGCCCCAGGAAGTCCTTCTTTCAAGCGGCACCTCCCGGAAGTGGACCACGTGGGCTCGGGACCCACGGCACCTCCCACATGAGCGGCAGCCCCCACAGGTCCCGGCCGGTGGACACTCAATAAAGAGCCATCGGTCATCTGTCCTCACTGTGTGCAGGGTGGGCGGCAGCGGAAGAGTCTGGCCCCTGACCGCCCGAGTTCGGGGATTGCTCGGGGGCAGGGCCTCGCCTGGGGCCTCCCCAGGGCTGGGAAACCGGGTGTAGGGGCCCTGTCACCCCACACCCTGCCCGGATCTCACACGTGCAAAATACCACCCCCCACTCGCCATCAGGGCAGCCCCCAGGGCCCACAGGGCTGACTCGTGACTGGTGATTGGAGTCACTGAGATTAAAGCACCCACAGGCCCAAGGCACACGGCCGGGACTTGACCCGGGAAGACTGAAGGCCACAACGTAGGCACATGGGCCTGGGCACGTGCGGACAGTCCAGGGATCTCAGATGCACAGCCAAGGTGGGGGGCCTCCGGGCCCCGCGGCCCCTCCCTGTTCTCCGCTTGGCCCCCTCTGGCCCTCAACCACCCCCTTACTTGGGATTTCTGCCCAGGTGCCCTCAGCTTCTCCTTTCTAAGACTTCCAGAACATGCAGCCTCAGCTCTACTGATCATAGCCACACCCATGCGTGCCTGTCTGCACGGCCCTCCGCGGAGGAGGGCCTCAGGTGGAGGTGGACACCCACAGCCCATGTCCTTGTGGACGGCAGCGGTCGGTCTGACTCGGCCCCTGTCACTCACCCAGGTTCCAGCAGGTTGTGTGCACTGGAGTCGGGGTGTCCCCATGAGCTCACAGCCACCAGGACAGACAGGCACAGGAGCTGAGGGGGCCGAGGGTCTGAAATCCAGAGTGGAAGGTGGGTGGAGGGAGGCTCTTCCAGAAAAGGCCAGACAGGGCCATGTGGGCCACCTCCAGGACATGGCCTTTGTCCCGACAGCAGCCCTGTCGTGGTTGGGTTTTCCCTGCCAGGGGGGTGAGGTGGCAGGGACAGGGGACCCCCACCTGACTGTCAGCACAGGCCAGTTTTGCTGGTGTTTGTGTGACACACAGACGGACCCACGGCACGTCCCCTATTGTGTCTGCTGCGTTCACTCAACACTCTGGACGGTCATGCGTGTTGCTGCAGGGACACGGGGACGGTCTTCCCTGCCTGTGCTTTTCGCGGGCACGGTGGTCACGCTCTGCTATCTTCTGCTCTTAACGGACCGTCCAGCTGGGGGCTATTGTGCATAAGGCCGGACAGACTTTCCTACGTGTGACCTTGCGCAGACACACGTGCTCACTGCTCTTGGGAAATAACTACGAGAGAATCATGGGCCCCACGGTAGGCAGGCGTTAGCTTTATAAGATGCCACAAGACCCTGTGAAGTGCTTGTAACGTTTACGGAGAGTCCCAGTCTCTGCACAGCCTCACCGATGGCTGGTGTCGTCTTCTCCAGTGGGTGTGACATTGTACGTGATTTGGTTTAAATTTGCATTTGATCGATGCCTGACAACATCAAACATCTTTTCAAGGGCAGACTGGCCATGTGTCTGTCTTCTTTTGAGACTTGTTGGCTCAAGCATTTTGCTCCTATTACTTGATTGTCATCTTTTTATTGTCAACTTATGGTCGTTATTTTATAGATTCTGGATACCGCCGGAAGTATGATGCGAATTTTCTCCTTTTCCGCAGCTCACCGATACATTTCCTTAATCCTGTCTTCCAAAGAGCAGGTCTTTTCCTTTGGTGAGCCCTGGCGTCTTGTCTCGTGGTCCGTGTGGTCAGGAAACTCTCTAGACACCTGTGCTGGCATTGATATCGTCATAGGAAGATCCTTCTGGAAACTTTATGGTGTCAGCTTTTGTGTGGAGGTTCCTGGTGTACTTTATGTTAGTGTTGTGCATGGTGTGGAAAGGGGCCAGCATCTGCTTTTTTCCACGCTGACAGGAAGTTGCTCAAACAATTGTTACACAGACTTTGCTTTCCCACCTGACTGGTGTGCACTTTGCATTGACCATCAGAGCTGGCCTGCCTCTGGCCTCCCTCTCCCTCTCACAGCCTCCTCTCTGGCGCCTTCGGTAATGCAGCTTCGTGACGAGACTTGAAACCAATTAGTGCAAGTCTTCTGATTCTGTGCTCTCTTTTAAGATTGTTTTTCCTACCTTAGATCCTTTGAATTTCCATGTAATTTAGAATCATCTTGTCTATTTCTTCAGAATAGCTTGTTGGAATTTAGATAGGAATTGCAGTAAATCTATGCATCAAGTTAAAGACAACACAAATCATCAAAATATGAATTCCTATTAATGATATTAATTTGGGTCTCTTAAATGATATCAACAATGTTTCAGTGTGGCGGTCTTCCATACCCTTCGTTAGATATGTTCCTGGGTGTTTGACAGTTTTGATTCTATGTAAATGGTATTTTAAAAATTTCATGTCTAGTTGTTTATTCTTAATGTATACAAGTGCAGTTGATTTTCCTCTATTAACCTGTCTTCTAACCTTGCCAAATTCACAAAGTCTAGTAGTTTTTCTGTGCATTTCTTTGGATTTTCTATATAGACAAGCAATTTGTCTATGCAAAAGACCGTTTTGCTTCTTTTCCAATATCCATGCCCTTTACTTGCGTTTCCCGCCTCGCTGCACAGATGAGGACCCTGTAATACGTGGCTCGTGATGGGCGTCTCAGGTCCCAGAGTCACCTAGGGTCTCGTGGCCAGAGGCTCATTCTCCACCGGGGCCCAGTACCGTGACTGCTGCTGCGCTCTGAGCCGTGAGCGGTTCTGCGCTACAGACGCCGCGCTCTGGCTCCACAGCCTTGGCTCGCATGTCAGAGTTCTTAGAGATGCCATGCAGCAGCCCCACGCAGAGCCTTCTGTGTCGCCTGACACACGACATTCCAAGTAAGATGCACGCAATCGCCAAGATCCAGCGAGGCCCACCTAGCACTGCTCTTGCTCGTCACGGCGGGTGGGGCAAGGTATCAGAGCTTCTGCCGCTCGTTAGAGGCAATGTCCTGGCAGGTCCAGACCCCGGAACCTCCCAAATCCTCAGCTATGAGACAGACCCTTGAGACTGTACTGTTTCTCTCCCACCCTTTGGCATAAATGTGTCTTACGAGGCATCGAAAGCATTTGCCAGTCACTGCTCCCCAGTCCTTGTTGGCATGATGTCATCGAAACACTGAGCCAGCAAGATGCTCCACAGGACCAGTCCAGGTGATAAAGGTCCTGCTCTGTGGCACGGAGCAGGGAGGTCAGCCTCAGCCTGGGGCAAGACTGGAAACTTACATCCTTGCCTCTTCTAAGTGAAGGCTTATTTCTAAGCCCCTCCCTCCCTGACAGGGGCTGGAAAGAACTCACTCCACAGATCGGCCACCACGAAGCACAGGCCATAGGCTGTGCTGTCCTGTTCTCCTAAGTCTGTGACACCCAGCACAGCACCTTGGCTCCAGACTAAAACTTGGTTCAGTTAATGAGAGCTGCCGTCATTCATCATGATCCAACTGAGTCAGAACATTTAAATTCATTTTATTGTTAAGAATTTATTGGGGGGCAGTTTTAGACACACAGCCCAGTGGAGAGGAAAGTAGAGATTTCCCATAAACCGCTGCCCACACACATGCACAGCCTTCCTGTCCCCAACATGCCCCGCCAGAGGGACCGTGTGTTACAGGTGACGGGCCCACACAGACACGCCATCGTCACCCAGAGCCCTCGTTCTCATCAGCGCTCTGCTGGCGGTGTGCGCTCCGTGGGCTGGGACAAATGTGTAATGACATGTATCCACCAGTTTAGTATTTTAGTTTCACACAGAGCATTTCCACTGCCCTCACAATCCTCTGTGCCTCACGGGGTCATCCCTCCTACCAACCCCCCGCAACCACCGATCTTTTCACTGTCTCTAACATTTTACCTTTTTCAGAACGTCAGAGTTGGAATCATACAGAATGTAGCCTTCTCAGATTAGCTTCTTTCGCTTAATAATAAACTTTCATTAAGTAATAAGTAATAATTTAAGGTTCCTCCATGTCTTTTCATGGGTTGATGGCTCAGTTCTCTTTAGCACTGAGTGATCTCCCCTCGTCTGGACGAACCACTGTTTGTCACCTACTGAGGGATACCTCAGTTGCTTCCAAGTTTTGGCAAATACGAATGAAGTTGCTGTAAAAATTGGTATGTAAGTTTTTGCACAAACATGAGTTTTCAACTCCTTGAGTAGATACCAAGGAATGCAATCGCTGGATCGGGTGGTAAAAGTGTGTTTAGTTTTGTAAGAAACCATCAAACTGTCTTCCAAGTGGCTGCCATTCTGCCTCCCAGCTCCTGATGCTCCACGGCCTTGCCGGCATTTGATGCTGTCGGGGTCCCATATGTTGGCCACTCTCACTGGCACGTGGACGTTTCTCCTTGTTGGCTTAATTTGCATTTATGGATCATATTGAGCAGAATAGACATCTTGACCACACTGAGTCTTCCTATCTGTGAACATGGAATATCCACTTATTTACTTCTTTGATTTTGTTCAGAGTTTTGCCGTTTTCCTCATACAGATATTTTACATATTTTGTTGGATTTATACCAAAGTGTCGATTTTTGATTCATCTGATTTTTGCTAAGGTTATATGGGTGGATTGGGGTCGTTCAGGGTAATGCTAAGTTCCGTTATTGCCCGGGGATAGTGTGTTTTGCTAGACTATTTTGGGCTTCAGAATAGATGTGCTAAGTCGTCTCTTTGGCCTTTCCTACTATTAAGGCCCTTAGTTCTTCCAAGTACAGGCATCCTGAAACACACCCAGACACTGAGGGAATGACCACAGGCTGGGCCTGGACACTTTGTCCCCCCTGTGAATTAGACTGGACCAAGGTCTTGTGTTCTGACAGCCTCCACTCTCGTGGCATTTCCTGTCCCCCCGTATTAGTGTCAGCTCGGGCCCCCCACCACACAGCCCTCCAGGGGCCTGGCATTTCCTCTCCTCCGTGTGTGGCTCTTCTGGTATTTGACCTGGGGCCCCTTTGCAGGGGGTTTTGGGAGGCCCTGCTACATGCATTGCTACGGGATCGCAGGCCCCTTTCCAGGAGCCAGGGTGTGGGCTGTGGCTCAGAAGCTGGGGCGTAAATATCACTGAGAGGCCAAGAGGGTGCAAGGTAGACACTGTCTGCTGGGCTGGGGCACACGCAGGTCACCAGGACCCTCACTTGAGAGCTCGGTGGGGAAGGGGCTGCAGGCTGGCTATCGTGGGCTGATGAGAGGGTGTGGGGTGGGGAAGTGGAGTGGTGAGAACAGAAGGCGGGGGTGGAGCCAGACGCCAGGAGATGCCGCCTTGCGCAAGACAGAAGACGCCCCGCCTTGGCAGGACCAGCGCAGGTTGGCAGAGGGAGCCGTGGACGTGGGCGTCCCCGCTGTTGGCTTCAGCTTGCTCTGTGAGGGGACGGTGGGGACACCTGGTCATTAGCAGAGACTGGAGAAAGTTGGAAGGTTTCTGTCTGCACACATTTTCTGGCAGCTTCTTCTACATCTATGTTTCCAGGGGAAGTATTCTCCACCTGGACATACAGAAAGTGCTGGCTGCCGTCTCCACCATGTGCATCCAGCGCGTTCATTTATTCAAGAGCAGATATGCAGGGTTTCATCATCATAGAGCAGCTCACGACTCGGGCCAGGACAAGCCCTTGAGCTCCAGGCCACGCGCAGACGCTTGGCTCTGAGAGTGTGACGACATCACACAGGATGGACCAACATGCGTCTTGTGAAACCCAGGGCACCTTCATCCCAGGCCCTCGGGAGATCGGCAGCTGCTCCCGGGGCCTGCTGTCCAGCACCCGCAGGGGCCCGTGAGGCCATCCCCCGGACAGTCTGAGGCGTCTCTACCGCCCACCACCTGCCTCAAGGCCAAGTCCATTCTCTTCTCCAAATGTCCCGGGTCCTCTGTGGGGCGGGGCAGCCAGGCCGTGGGTGGTAAAGACCGAGTAAAGGGAAGGCAGCTCAGCACTCCTTGCCGTCCAGAGTCTTGGTCTTCCGGAAGATGCTCTGCATGGCCGAGACCCGGTCCTTATCCTGGATGTTGAAGACCTGGAACTGCAGATGAGCCGGGGGACGGAGGGGTCACACAGGTACCCGGGAGCCCATCGCAGGGCGCCGGACACGCTGTGGGACATGTGCTCCTTGCCCACCAGGCCCCCTGTGTCCGGGTCTCTGCCTACACAGTCCTCCTCACGGGGGGACCCACCCTGCGCCCTCTTGTCCAGGGGCCCTTCCTCACACACAGGGGTCCCCAGGTGGGCCTGACACAGAGGAGGCCCCACCAGGTGCTTACGGAGGACCGAGCATGTGTCAGGCCCTATGGGCCCTGCAGGGAGGCCGGGTTGGCTCTTCGGGGTGAGTGTGGGGGTGGCCCTGTGGAAGAGGAGCCGGCATGGCCCCTGCGGAAGCAGGGGAGGGCAGGGCTTAGCGGAGCTGGCGGGACCTTGGGGACCCAAGGAGGTGCAGCTGGCAGGACAGCCAGGCAACCCCCGAACACCAGGCTGGAGGATTCGAAGTCCCAAGGACATGGCGTGGGACCCCCGAGTCTAGGGACGCAGCAGGAACCGTTCCCGTGGGGCCCAGGGCCAGCCACACCCCCACGTGAGGGGCAGGGACGGCACGTGGGCATGGGGCTGGCTCTGGTGGGTAGTGGAGGCAGGCTCAGACATGCTGCCCGGCGGCCGGGGCACTCGCGGCCTGCCTGACCTCCTGCTCTCACCTCTGCCCCCGACACGCTCTTGTTGTCCCGAGGGCTGGCCTGACCAGCCCTCCTTAAGCTCCTGGCCCTGGGGGAGCAGCTCCCCACGCAAATGTCACCCTGGGCCTGTCTGGGACCCCCCTCGCTTGCCACACCCACCTTGTCCAGCAGGACGTCAAAGTAGGCGGTGGCCCAGTAGGCGGGGTCGCTGGCGGGCAGCTGCAGGAGTGCCTTGACCCCGTTGCCGATGCGCGGCGGGGGGCTGCGGCCCAGGTGGGTGGCGTGGATGCGCAGGGAGGCCTCGGGCTGGCTGGCGAAGCGCTCCACGCGCTGGTACAGGGCGTCGAGGTCCAGGCCGGCATCCTTCAGTAGGTTCCGCTTGGGGAAGAGGAAGTGCGGCAGGTGCCTGGCGGCCAGGCAGCAGAGCAGCACCACCAGCAGCCGGTACACGGCGCCCTGCAGCTCCGCCCAGTCCTCGGGCGCCGGGAAGAGCGTGCATGCCCACAGCAGCACCGTCTGCAGCAGCATGGGGTACGTGGTCCAGGCCAGCCCAGCCGTCCCCGCCTTCCCTCCGCCCCCACCCCTGCCCACCTTCAGCCCATCACCCTCATCAAAGCTGTCCCCTGCCCGTCCCCTGCCCGTCCCCTGCCTCCCTGCACCTCGCTCCCGGCAGAGACCCCGTCCGCTTCCCCTTCCCCGCCTTGTGCCCTGGCCCTTGCCTTCCCTTGCTCTTCTCAGCCCCTGACGGTCACAGAGGCCAAGGAGGACACGGCTCCCGCCCAGTGAGCAGCAAAGTGCTCAGAGTGGGGGTCCCTGACCGGGCACATTCACAGCCACCAGGGGCCAGGGTGCCCATGAGCCCCCCATGCGCACCTTCAGGTGGCTGAAGGTCAGGCCGGGGCTCCGGCCGCTGTCACGCCAGCTCTCGTGGTTGACCCGGTCCAGGATGGAGAGGCTGTCCAGGCGGTGGCCCTGGAGGGAACCCAGCGCACCGAGCAGCCTGGTGAGCAGGTAGTCAGTGGAGACCCTGGGAGCGGGACGGCATACCACACCGGGTCAGCGGCGGGGCCCCGGCCGCCCGTCCAGGGGCACGCTGCATCCCCAGCTCATCCCCAGCTCTGGCCTCCCCGGGATCAGCTCTCGAGCCCCACAGGATGGCCCAGCCTGCTGCAGGGACCACCCGCTGCAGGGACCACCCGCTGCAGGGACCAGCTGCTGCAGGGACCAGCCAGTGCAGGGACCACCCGCTGCAGGGACCACCCGCTGCAGGGACCATCCTGTGCAGGGACCAGCCAGTGCAGGGACCAGCCGCTGCAGGGACCACCCGCTGCAGGGACCACACGCTGCAGGGACCACCCGCTGCAGGGACCACCCGCTGCAGGGACCAGCCCAGCCCCCAAGTGTTTTCTAGGAACTGCTGTTGTGGAGGGTCTTATGTGAAGCGTCAGGTTCTCACGGAGACGCTCGGGACCCAGAACAGGGCAGGGCATAGGGGGCTTTCCTGACCCCTCCGTGTGGGCAGGAAGGGGCCTCTCTGAGCCGCCCAGGGTACAGCAGTGTCCCCTGGTCCTCAAGCTGACGTGTCCCCTCTGTGCCCCATTTGGGAAGTCAGCGGTCACCGCACGGCTTGGAATCTGCCCCCACCAGCAGTGCCACGCTCAGGGCGTCGCACACCCGTGGTACTCACCGTGGGCTCACGGAGCCGCCCGAGGCCAGCGCCCCCACGGGCCCCGCTCTCTGTGGAGTCTCAGGACCGGACGGCCATCCGCCTGTGCACCCGGAGTCAAGGATTCCCGCTCCCTGCTCGCCTGCACACTCTGCCTGCCCTCCCCTTCCTTCTCGCCTGGACACAGCCCTGCTTGGGGTACGGAGCTCACAGGCCTCTGCTGAGCCTCCCCTTGGGGCAGAAACTGTCACCCACTTCTGAGAATGAACTGTAAGCCCCCGAGGCGCCTTCCTGGGCGTGGGAGCCGGGGAGTGTCACCCTGGCCAAATCACAGCAGCTTTGCTGTTTAAGTCCTGTCCAAGCTGCATGCGGCTCAGTCCCCGGTTCTTGGCTCGGGGTGTCAAGAGGAGCTCAGCCTCTGCCTCGCATCCCCAACTCTCTCTTTCCTGCTCACAGACACCAGCTCGGGGTCTCCCTTTCCCTGCCGGTGAGGGAGGGAAGGGGCGTCAGCACCTCACCCGCTCACAGACTACTAGGGTGGAGACTGGGGGCCCCACGGGGCTGCTGGGCCTCCAGGGCCAGGCGGGGGCGGCGCCTGCAGCTGGGCAGCACGGGTGGGGGGCACATGGTGGGAGGACATACCGGCCCCCAACGGGGAGGGGCCACCGGAAGATGCTAGCAAATTCCTGCTACTCCACCTCGGCCCTCGATGTGTGGAGACCCCTCCCGACCGTTCCTGGAACCTGCCACCCAGGGGAAGCCACCCGCCTCTGCGCCCAGGACAGCCTTCTGCGTGTCTCCGAGTCTCTCCTCACAGCCTGACCCTGGCCCACCGCCCGGGAGCAGGGGCAGGGGGCACAGCCCCACCCTCCCCGCAGCTGGCAAAGCCAGCAGTGGGCAGCCGGCCAGATGCCCACTTCCCCCAGAGATCCCAGTGACGTCAGCGTGGCACGGAGGCCTACAGGGCGGAGCCGGGGGACGGCGTCCCCGCAGACCTTCCTGCCCGGGGGGGAGGAGCAGCGGGTGGCAGCCCCCTTCCGGCCGGCTCTCCCGGGCCCCACAGACCCCAGGACGCCTCCAGTGGTGGGCACTGACCTCCAGTGGTGGGCACCAGCTGGTACCAGTGCCACTTCTTGGCTGAAGACCCTTCTCAAGCTGCCTTCAGGGAGCCCGGGCAGCAGCTGGACCCTCTCCAGGGCGGCCGCCCCGAGCCTTCTCCGCACCACGGGCACGATGTTGAATCGGACCGTTCTCCAGCCGCTGGACACCAGCAGGGTCAGGTGGCTCTCCTCCTCCTCCAGGCTGTCCACGTTCAGGGAACCTGCAACACCCCGCCGTGCCCTTGAACCCCCTTCTCAGACAGCCCCTCACGCCTCTGGGAAGGGGCTGGGCGGGTGGAGAACAGGGCCAGACCCGGCCTGGCCCGGGGGTTAACACACATGTCCCTAAAGCCCTGGTGTCGGGAGAGGCGGGCTTGGTGCCCAGCGCCCAGGAAGGCCCGGATCCAAAGGCTGACAGCCTGCCTTCCACTCCACACCCTGGGTCCCTGGAGCCACACCCCAGGTGGCACATTCCCACTCCCTCACCTCTCAGACCCAGCCCAGCGCCCATGCCCGGAACCCCCCGAACACCCCGGGGGGGACGTTCCAAGGGTGACGGGCTGGGGGCTGGGGAGGTGGAGGCACTCTGGGATGGCGCGGGCCCTCCGGCCTCTGCCTCAGCTGTCACTTCCCCTCAGTAAACAAATTAGGGCCACAGAGAGAGGAGGGGAGCTGAGCAGTGTGGGGGACACTCATGTCACCGGCCCTGACCAACACCCGCCGTCCCGCTCCCTCCCCCAGCACTGCCTACGGAGGGTGCTGGTCAGGCGTCAGGGGACTGGTGGTCTGGGACCCATGTGCCGAAGGGAACCCCCAACATGTGCCTTGAAGCTAGGTCTCCGTAGGGACGGAGCGCCGGGGCTGGGCTCCTGACGTCCCACCGCAGGCCGCAGCCCGCCCTGGCCCTCCAGCCCACGGGGGGAAGCCCCCAGGAAGGAGCCTGGGCCCTTCAGTATGCAGGCCCCTCCCTCTCACCCCCTGTGGGTAGTTCGGGTCCTGGCCCCGCCACCTGGGCCACTCCATCCCCTACGTGGGCCTCAGCTTCCCCATCAGTTACAGGAAGAAAGGAGCTCAGTGACCCCTGGCCCCTTCTGATTCAGGGTTTGAGGCCCTGGTCATCCAAAGCCACTGCTGGAGCTTCATGTCCCTGTTGCGGAGGCAGCTTTGAGGGCGCCAGCCACGCCCACAGCCTGTCCCAGCCACGCCCTGCCTCAGCCCCCAGCCTGGTCCCACCGGTTTATTGCCAGGTGCAGGCGGCCTGAACCTTGTCACCTGGGGCTGCTGGGTTCCCTTTTAAGGTAAGTGTCTGAGAGCAATGCTTGGAATTTCCCTGCACGCCCCGGCCCAGCCGGGCCCCTGGGTGTGGCTCCCGGCCTCCCCTGCTCTCCCAGCCAGGGAGCCGAGGACGATGGGGACCTGTGGACGGCCAACAGGGGACGGCAGCTCAGAGTGTGCCTGAGGGGCCCAGGGCTGGGCGCCCCCAGCAGGTGGGGCAGGCGGCCTGCAGGTGACAGACCCAGGTGGGCATGGCTATGGTAGGTCATGGGGGAGAAGAAGGGGCCTAATGCCAGGTTCTGGGAAGGCTCCATTTGTCATCAGCTCTGAGAGGGTGGCCACCCGCCTGGGTCACCAGGCAGGTCTGGAGAGGGGCCAGGGTCGGGATTTGCCCCTCTTGGTGTTGGAAGGCCATTCAGAAGCCACTCTGAGCAGCCCGGGGCAGGGCCCTGTCCCTGCACTGGGCTGACCGGCCATCCCCATTCTCTGACATTATGGCGGGTAAAGGACCGGCGGCAGCCTCCACCACGGGCCCTATTCCTTCCCAAGGGGATCGGGACTTCTGCCTCGGTCCCCACTCCCCTACCAGGACAACCTGAGGTGCCTGCTCTGGCCCCCAGCGGGGTGCACTGCTGCCCTGCGCCTGCACACACGGCACCTCTTTCTAGAGCCTTCATAGGCCTGGAGCCCCCACTGGAGGGAAGCCCACTAGCTGTGGTCCAGCCAGGAGCCTGGGCCATCTGGGGGCTTTCCACCCCCAGATCACATCAGCAAGGCACCTGGGGGAGAGGCTCAAGGCTCAAGACACCAGTTAGCACCCGGGCCATAAACTGAAACAACCCTGTGCACACATGTGCACGTGTGCACACACACCCATGTGCCTTCTCCTGTGGTGCACACTTATGCACATATATGTACATACTCACACACACGTTCATAATCCTGCACACACACGCACACACAGTCTTGGTGCAGGGGCCTGCGTCAAGCAGGTCAGCTGGACACCAGCGCCCGTGTCTTAGTTTCTAATTGTTTATCAAGTCACGTCCATTAAAACGTCACCATGCGAAAATCAGGTAACATGGAAATGCATGTCTTCTAGAAGTGTTTGGAACTAGGAAGGATCTCAGAGCCGTTTCCTCTAGCTTGTGTGCCTTGACACACGCACTGAAATCACATGCTTGTGCACACATGTGCACGCACGCACACACACACACATACACGCACACCCTGAGCGCACACACACGTCACATGCCTGTGCACAGGTGCGCATACCACACACATGTGCATGCACGCGCACATACACACGCACACACCCTGAGCCGCCACATGCCTGTGCACAGGCACGCACACCACACACGCGTGTGCCCGGGTGCCCGGCCGGCTACCTGGCATGATGTGGTTCTGGTGTTTGCAGTGCACGATGGCCGCCACCAGAAGGTCCTTGAGGATGCGCAGGACCTTGCCGGGCGCTATGTGGCCGCGGCCCTGGGCGCCGACCTCCGAGGAGACACTGAGGACGTTGTCGGCCATCCACCGGTCCAGGAGGGCCCCTTCCCCCGAGACGCCCAGGCGGCAGGGCGCGGGGCTGTCCCCCGCCTCGGCGGCCCCCACCTCCTCCACCAGGAGGGCATCTGCGTCCACCCTCAGGGGCACCTCCAGGGGCAGGGGGCCGTCCGAGGTGCGCAGGGCGAACTGGAAGGCCTCCAGGTCCCGGGAATAGTCCACGAGGAAGTGCGGGTCCAGGTGGTGCACGTGCTCCAGCACCGTGAGCAGCACGTCCTCTGCGCGCTGGAAGTCCTGGGCCCGCGGCGCCCCCCGCGAGCGGATGGCCTGCAGGTAGTGGTGCCACAGGGGCACCTGCACAGCCATGGCTGGGGCCCGACGGAGAGGCACCTGCTGGGAGAATTCCAGAGTGATGGCCGCCCGTGGCTTAAATAGCTGGGCCCGACCCAGGCCTTTGAAGTGAGGCTGAGTCAGTTGCCAACAATTAGGAATGTCACGCAGCCTTGGGCGGGGAGGCGGGGCCTGGTTACCACCCAGCCAAGCCAGGCTCCTCCCTTCTGTCACACTGACGCCGCCTCTGAGGCCCGGGACGGCCCTGGAGAAATGGCACTGCCCCTCCAGGGGTCGACCGGGAGGTGGGGAGACCGCTGCTGGTGCCCCCACCTCGTCCCAGCAGCCACGGCGCCTCTGTGACACCTGGGCCTTCCTGCTAGGCTGGAGGAGAGACACAGGGCATCCCCATTGTTCAGAAGAGAAATGTGAGGCGGGGTGGTGGCCTCCCCGGACCTCCTGCGTGGGAGTCCCCTCTCTCTGAGGCAGCTCAGAAACCAGGGCTGGGGGCTGTGTTTCCATAGCAACGGGACCATTCCCCTCAGGCACCTGCTCCCCCTGCCGGCTGGAGCCCAGACTGGGGCATGCCCACAGCCCACAGCCCGCCTCCCCGGTCAGGGTCAGAGCCACACGTGCAACCCCCAGCCCGAGGCCCCCGCGCTGCCTGCCCCCCAGCCTGCAGGGCCCTCAGCCTGCGAGGAGCCCGCACCCACCTGGGTCTGCGGCTGGAGCGTCTGGTTCCAGGGCCCGGCTCCCTGGCTCTTCCCGGCTGGCGGAAAGCCTCGCCCTGCCGCAGCCCTCCAGCACCGCGCTGCTGGGAGCCCCGCCCGCCTGCCTGCCTCCCCGCTCAGGGCCGGGCAAGTCCCAACCAGCAGGGGGGCCGCCCTCGCTGACCCCTGGCCCTGCTGGGCTGGCCTGGCGCCCCGGCTGGAGTGTCTGGAAACAATGAACATGGAGAGAGCCCCCAGCTAGGTATCCTGGAGACGCTGCCCTGCAGCCCTCACCCCTACCCACAAGGGGCCTCAGACACCCAGGTGGCTGCAGGCAGAGCCTGGATCCAAGTGTCCCCAGGTCCCAGGGGCCCTGCCCGTCCTGCCTGCGCTCCATCGGGCAGGCCACGCGGGACTACGTGCGGAAGGTGCCGGAGCATTAACACCAGTGGTAACGGGGGGCGCCGGGGGGCACTGGTCGGGAAGCAACAGACCCCCCGAGGGGGGCACACGTGATGGTGGGCTGGGTTGTGAGGGTTAATCTGTGTGATGGGGGCTGCCGAGGGGGTGGCCTGAGAGGTGAGTCGTCCAGGAGGCTATGGACACTTGGGGTCACCCAGGGAGAAGCAGGCGTGAGGCTGGCCGGCACCGCCACCTGGAAGGTGGCCAGAGCAGGCAGCTGAGCCATGGAGCTTCCCAGGCGAGCAAGAGTCTGGGGGCGGCCACAGCCCAAGATGGCGGCGCAGGGGCCCGGCAGCGAGGGTCTCGGTACAGGGGTGGGGAGAAGGGGCGTGTGAGAAAGGAGGACCCCAGGCAGACGCTGTCTCAGGCCCGAGGGGCACTGATGTGGGTCACCTGTGGCCACGCAGGTCCCGGGCCCGGGTGGTCCGCGCAGGGCCGGATGGGATGTGTGGGAGAAGGGGCGCCCCCGGGTGCTGCAGGCAGGGCTGAGCTTGGTTTGATTTGGTTTCATGGTTTTTATGGCGATAAAAAACATAACATAAAATTTACCTTCCTCACGATTTTAAATGTCTAATTAATTCAGTGACATCGGGTGCGTTTATATCGTTGCTGTTGTTACCATTGTGCTACCAACACCACCAGCAGCCGCCAGCGGCCGCCAGAGCTCCTTCCCCACCTGAAACCCTGCACTTCTCATCAAAAACGAACTCCCACTCTCCTGAATCCCCTGCCCCACTTTCCGTCTCTGATATTTTTAAAGATTTTATCTTTAAAATTTTTTTTTATGTTTTATTTATTTCTGAGAGAGAGAGAGAGACAGCATGAACATGGGAGGGTCAGAGAGAGCGAGAGACACAGAATCCGAAGCAGCTCCAGGCTCTGAGCAGCTGTCAGCACAGAGCCCGATGCGGGGCTCGAACCCACGAACCGTGAGATCATGACCTGAGCGGAAGTTGGACACTTAACGGACTGAGCCCCCAGGTGCCCCTAAAGATTTTATCTTTAAGTCGTCTCTACACCCAGCGTGGGGCTCGAACTCACAACCCCGAGATCCAGAGTCACAGGCTCCACCGACTGAGCCGGCCAGCCGGCCTGTCTCTGTGATTTTGACTGGACGAGGGACCACAGGAGTGGGGTCGGCCTTGTGTGGCTGGCTTATTTCACCGAGCCTAATGTCCACAGGTTCAGATCAGTGCTTCACGCCTCGTGGCTGAATGATATTCCGTTGGATGCACAGATCACCTCTGCTGCTCCGTCCATCTGTCCACGCACACGGGCTGCTTCTACCTGCCCAGCAACTGTGAGCCTGGGTGTGCGAAACTCCCTAGGACACCCTGCTGTCAGTTCTGTTGGACATATACCCGCAAGGGGGACGGCCATGGTGGGCGTGTGAGGGACCAAAATGAGCCGATTCACTTTTTCTCCCCTGGTGTTGCCCACGCAGCTTTTCTCCCCCGCTTTCTTGCCGGGGGTCTTTGCTTCTCCTGAGTCCTCAGCAGGATCCAGGTCCCGGGTGCATGGGGGCCCCGCCGAGGCGGCCTTCCCCAGTGACACTGCAAACAGATGAATACGGGGTGGGTTCCGCCCCGGGGAACCTCTCAAGACTTGTCCCGGGCTGACCCGCCACGGCCGGGCCGACCAGCGCCCCGTGGTCCTCTGCAGATGCAGATGCACTGGATGCTGAGAGAGTCGCGAGCCCGAGAGGGAAGGAATGAGACTTCTCTCCCAGAGCACATATGCCCAGCAGCCCGCGTGGGGAGCCCCAGAGCCTCACCCGGCAGTGTACCCAAATATGAGCCCCGGGGCCCTCAGGTGCCACCACCTTGTCGTGCGGGCAGGGGCCCTCAGGTGCCACCACCCTGTCTTGCGGGCAGGGGCCCTCAGGTGCCACCACCCTGTCATTCGGGCAGGGGCCCTCAGGTGCCACCACCCTGTCGTGCGGGCAGGGGCCCTCAGGTGCCACCACCCTGTCGTGCGGGCAGGCCCCAGATGCACAGACAGTGACCGTGGGCAGCAGGACAGTCAGCCTCGGCGCCAGTCGGCAGCCCTGGGCCGTGCCCGAGCCAGAGCCCCACCCGTGTCCAGAGCAGGGCTGCCTGTTAACATAACTGCAGAACGCGGGGCCTGCTTCCTGTCCGGCACCTGCAGGGGGCACGCCCGCCAGAGGCCGTGAACCCGGGTCTGTGGAGCCAAAAGCGTTGGCGGGAGCCGCCCCTCTTCGGAGCCATGGCCCGCCCTCAGGAGTGCTGTCACAGAGGGCGGGTGGCTCTGCAGGGGTGAGCCGGTCAGGCCCTACAGCCAGTTAGGTGACACGGCGGCCCGAGGCCCTGAGGGGCTGGGCAGCGGCACCCCATTCCTCTGCGGCCTCCAGCCCCTTTCCTCGGGGATTGCCCTGCGTGTGACCCCTCGAGGGAGGATGTGTCAGGGCCACGTGTCCCATGCGCAGCAGGCTCCCGGACCAGCCCCGGCCCCGCCCTGTAGGAGAGAGCTGGGCCAAAGGCGGGCGTGGCCTTCACACCAGGAAGCCACTAGTTTCGTGCTTCCCCTCTTGGGGAGGGTCTGAATCAGGCGTGGCAAATTCCGGTGCCCGTGGGGCCAGTGCCATGACTCTCCCTGCGCCCGCCCTGCCCACCCACCCCACAGAGGTGCTGCCTGCATCGTAAGGACTTGTATCACACCCTCCATTCATTCCAGAACATTCCCCGGGGGCCATGCCCCGTCCTGAGGGCTCGCCTTCTTGTCCATCGATGGCCCAGGACCAGGAGCCACCAGCATGGACACTAGGCAGTGAGGCCATGGGGTTACGCGCGGGGCCTGTGGGGGCCTCAGAGGGGCTGGAGGAAAGGGGACGGGTGTGGAGGTGAAGGCCAGAATGTGCTAGGCTTCTCCACAGGGCCTTAAAGGCTTAAGGGGAGAACAGGCTGAGGTGAGCACTGGGGCGGGGGGGAGGGGGGACAGGGGCAGGATGTCCCCCCACCATGGGCACCACCTTTCCTGGTTCCCACGAGTGACCGCAGACAGTCACGCCGGCCTCCACGGCCTCCTCGCCATCCGACTGTCACACAAATACCCCGCGTGGAGCTCCCCCAGTGGGAACTCTCACCGGAAACAGACCGTACCCTCGGTGCCCCCAGAGCCCACCTGGCCAGGGTCAGATGAGGCCGGGCCCCGGGGCTCCAGCAGGACACCTGCCTCACGCCTCCCCCAAATCCCGGGGCCCGGACTCCAGGGCGCTGTTGACGGCCTTGGGTGCCGGGAGGGTCCCCTGGGCCCCGAGTGTGTACCTTGGCTTTGCGCCTTCAGTGCTGACCCGTGCGCTGAGCGCCACACCAGGTCTGGACGCCCGGTGGGGCCATGCCCACCCGAGAGCCAGTCCTGCCCATGCATGGGTTGCTCCCCCGGGGCAGGAGGACAGAGCGCAGGTGTCTCCGGGGACAGCCACCTTCACGCACAGGTGGCGCTGTCTCCAATGTCTGTGCCCAGGAGAGAGCCTGGGCCCCCAGCGTCCCTCAGCGCTGGTGACGGATGCGCTCCCGCCGCCTGTCCACCCTGACCACCAGGTCCCTCTGGCCTTGCCGACAGGCTGCCTCAGAGAAGGGGCCTCCCCTCTCTCTGGGCCGTCACTGCTGGCCGCCAGCCCACCTCCAGGGCCTGCCCTTCTCTAAAAGGGATTCAGCTGGGAGAGGTCTGCTTAGAACGAGGACTTGGAGGGGACCCGGATGCCCCGTGCCAGGCTCAGTCCAGAGGCCCCAGGAGGCCCCGGCTACACGGGCACAGGTCTGTGTTTGTCCGTCCCCTTGCCTTAGCCCCGGGGCTGGGTCCCACACCCCAACACGTGAGCGACGAGTGTCCCTGTAGGTCCCTGATGCGGCTCCAGAAGCTTTCAGTGACTGAGGAGGAGGAGTGTGCAGGCATGAAAGGAGCCGTTGGGAAGCAGATTGACCTGAGGGGGCTCAGAGGGCGGTCAGATTCTGGAAGGCGGGTCCAGGTGCAAGGTTAGGACGTCAGGGGTCTCCTTGGGTCCTTGGACAGGTGGCTTCTCCTCTCCAGCCCTCAGTCTGTGCATCTGCTGAACAGCATCCCTACTGAGCTCTACACTCTTCTAGATGCTGGGGAAGAATGGGTTTTGTTGGTTGGTTGGTCTCTGACTGTCCGTCAGGAGGACCGGGTGGTCCGCGTGCCGCCTTCCCCTGCTGCGTGGCCCCAGGCACACAGGCCTCCTGCCGAGAGGGCTGGGCCCTCCCCAGGGTGTGGGAGGGGGTCGGGGGAGAGCCCAGCACCCTCCGGGCACGGTCGTGCAGGTGGACAGCTTCACCCGGGCGCCTCCAGGTCCCCAGGAAACCGCTTCCTGACAACAGCGTTCCTTAGTCCCCACGGCAACAGGGCCTATGCTCCTGTTTCCAGGGAAACAAAATCCTCAGCGTTGTGGTTGCCACAGCAACATCTACGGGCTTGTTGGCCACTCGGAACTCGCCAGCCAGAGGGGCTGCTGGGCGTCCTGGACGGAGAAACCAGGTGCGGGGCAGGTGCGGGGCTGGTGCGCTGAGGCAGGTGCGGGGCAGGTGCGGGGCAGTTGTGAGGCAGGTTTGGGGCTGGTGCGCT